GAGTCTCTTTCAAATGAAAAGAGGGCCAGGGATGTAGCTCAGCACAAAGGTTCTGGGTTTAATCCCCTGTACTGAAAAAAGAAAAGCACCATGCTTTGGGAAAGGAGCCCAGGGCTCCGTGGCAGCTGATTGGGTTCAGATCCAGACTGAGGCTCACTCTCTGAGACCTCAGACAAGTGGTCAAGTTTTGGCCTGGCGTCCTCCTGGGATATGGGTGCACAGTGACAGAAGGGCCGAATCCAGGTGTCTGGGGACATGCAGGGCTTGGTCTTGGCAGTTCCATCCAGCCCACGGCTACGGGAGCTTCCCTCCTAACACTGCAGGCAGGTCCTCCCTGGTCATGCCCACGCCACCTCCTCTGCATGGCCAGGTGGCAGGCTCTGCAACTCTCTGGCTGCAGCCTCACCACCTGACTCACCTGCACCAGGGAGCCCGAAGGGGTACGGGCCCAAAAAGAAATGGGTTTTCGGTCTGCAACCCACTCTCCCAGGCAGGTGGTGCTCTGCAAGTCATCTCTAGCTGGACATTCTGTGACCTCCAGGGAGGACACACCCACCAGGGGCCCTAGTCCCACAGTGGACAACAGAAGCACTGAAGTTGGACCTAAGGTTTTGAATACCATTTCCACAGCTCACTGTGCCTCAGCTTCTCACCTGACTATGGGAAAGGCCTCCATCTGGGTTGGGCTGGCGCTGTCTCTCTCTCTCTCTCTCTCTCTCTCTCTCTCTCTCTCTCTCTCTCTCTCTGCCATGCGGGTTCAATGCCTTCAATGCCTAGATCCATTAAATCACAAGAGCTGTGATGTTTGAACATCACCTTATTTATTAGCTGTTTTCAGCCCATGAAGAAAACTGGCCATCATCTATTACTTGTTATGGTTTGAGGATGGTACCAGAAAGTCCAGATAATAAATGCTCAATTCATTTCCTTTCTTTGCCAGCTTTTTAAAATGATCAGTTGGGTTCCTTAACACACTTTAAAGGTAATCAACAGATTTGGGAGAAGAACATGATGAACAAACAGATTTTAATGTAATTGAAATGTTTTTGAGCCACTGCAGTTACTGCTGTTGGTGACATTTAAACTGTGCCGGTGAGACCTCAGATCATCTTTGCTTTCTGGTGTGAGGTAACATTCGAAGTTCCCCCACTCCATTAATGAAATCAGCCTTCTCCAAAGCCCTGGTTCGCTCTAGAGGGGCATAATGGTTCAAAACTCTAATCTGAGAACTAAGGACACCTGAAGTTTATAAAACTTTTCCATAAACACGGCAAAACAGTGACCGTTTGCATGGCAGGAGATTCCAGGACTACGCAGAAACCTCGCTAAAGAGTTGCAGGTCAGCACCCCAGGTGTGGCCGACAAACACGGAGTCAAGGACAGAGCCTGCGGTCACCAGTGTGGCATGCTGTGGCGGGCGGGGGAAGGAAGGGTAAGGCCTGAGAAATGCCCACACAGTGTGCTGGCTTTCGCGTGGGCTTCCTCAGGGTGTGCGGCGGAGTGGGTGAAACAGGAATCGATGACGAATGTAGCTTTCCAGAAGCTCACTGTAGAGGAAGGGGATGTGAGGCTGTAATCCACAGAGAGGTTACGTCAGGAAAGGTTTACAGTGTAAATAAGACACGAGCGCATGTGTTTAAGAGCGGGCGAGCCGGATCCGGGAGCAGGCAGGCTGCAGAATTACAAGGGACAGCAGGTGTCAGGGCTGCAGGTATCTGGCATGGCTCTGAAAAGCCAGGCAGCTTCTGGGACAGGCGAGGAGGAAGGCTGCTGCTGTCTGGTCCGCATATCTAGGAGCAGGACCAGACCTTATTTAACCCTCTCTTCCTTCTTGCAGACCCTGTGCCAGATACGCAGGACTCGTCGGCTGCATGCTGGAACTGAGCTAGGACACAGAAGAAAGAGAACAGAAAATAGTGTCTCTGGAAACAGCAGGGTGACCCCTTCATGGTCCATCATCTTCAGGCGAACTCTGAGCTCAGGACATGGACAGTCTACAGACCAAGTGCAGAAGCAGCAGGAGCAGGTGGCAATCTTATTAAGCCAGAGCCTGGAAGAGATTTGCACACATGCAAAGTCATGCCTCTTTTAGGTGCTTTTAGTGAAAAACAGTTTTCCTTAGCATGGTAGTGGTACTGCTGTGTGGTGTGTGTATTAGTGTTATCACCCATTACACTGTGCCACAGGACAACGTGTTATAAAGTGTTGTTACCATTTTTCAGTTTGAATTCCTAGTTAGTAGATGTGGATGGATGTAAACCAAGTACACCAGAGTTCTTTGAGGCCCTCAGTAATTTTGGAGCGTAAAGGGGTTCCCAAGACCAGAAAGCTTGAGAGCTGCTGGTGTACAAGGAACTCAGAGCCGGCAGCAAAAGCCAATAATCACCCAGAGCACACTGGTGCAACCCCGCTCCAGCTGACAGCCCTAGACGCCCGCAAGAGGACTTGATTAGCACCCAGGGCTAAAAAATGGTAATTTCCTCACTTTCTGCACTCCTGGGACATGCTCAAAGACTGGGGGAGGGGGGATCAAAATATATGCCGAGGCTTAAATTTTTAAAATTTATTAGAGTAAAAGACACATTACTATGAATCCCCTCAATGATTACCCTCAAGATCCACTGCAAACATCCCCCCGTCCTGTTGCAAACAGGAGGTTTGCTCATCCCAGGATCCTGGCCATTTCCTGCAGCAGCTCTGGAGTCCTCTCTCCAGAGGGTCTTTACAAGCTGTGATCAAAACTAAGGTGAGTGCCTCAGTGGACAGGCAGCTCATGAAAGCATAACTGTGTCCTTATCCACCTTGGTCACCAGATCTGGCACCAGGTGACTTCTGGCTCTTCTCCAAAGTCACAATGACTGGGAAAGGGAAATGTCTGGAATGAAGTCAGGACTTTGAGGCAGCTACAACAGTGCAACGGAAGACCCTCAGGAAAGAGGACTCCAGAGCTGCTGCAGGAAGTGGCCAGGACCCTGGGATGAGTGTGTTCAAGGCCAGGGCGGGGGGCATGCTGAGGGGATTAATGGCAATGTACCTTTTACTGTATCAAATTTTAAAATTTAAGCATTTGCTGTATTATTTTTTGATCACACCATGCTCATGTGTTCTAAGGAGTGAGGCCTTCTAATCGCTGACTTCTGCTGTGCAGAGAAAACCAAGGGACGCTGCAGCTGACAGTGGAGGTGCTTCCAGAGGCTTTCAGGAGGAGGAGGAGGGGAGGCTAAGAGGGAGGAGGAAGAAGAGGGAGGAGGAAGAGAGGAGGAAGAGGATTCTGGCACCACCAGGGAGCTCAGGGTATGCCTCCCTCTCCCCAGTCCTGCTCATCCTAACTGTGGGAGAGGGACTCTTGCAAGGCTGAAAAAAGATAAAATCCAATGGTCCCCCAAGAGAATGCTGCCAAATTCATCAGTACGAACAGTTTCCCAAAGCCAGCATCAGGGTCCTGGGTAGGGCTGGAGAGAGACCATGTGTAAAGACAAGAAGGTGTCAGCCACCAAATGGTCACTTTCGCTCAAATCATCTCCCCAGATAACTGGGCACTCCTTCAAACCCAGGGTGCTCCTCTGTTCTGGAGTCTCTGCACGCCTGTTCATCTGAAAACCCGAGCCAGCCTCTTACCCTGAAAAGCATGCACCACACGGAATCTAGAATTTCAAGTGCAAACTTTAATTAGATTAGTTTTTATAAATTTCCCTCATGGCTCTTAACTATTAGAGAGCGCAAACATCTTTAATATTGAACGTTTACGTCACGTGACCCCATGTCAATGTGGTTGATAAATCCCATGCATTTCTGCAAGACTTATAACCCGGGGAGAACAGCTGAAGGTCTTGCAAACCCCTCAAAGCTGGACACCAGGGAGTGTAAGTAATCGTTTCTTTAAAACCACACTTCCTTTACAACCTCGAGCAGGAAATGTGAGTAGAGGAATGCAATAGCTGTGCAGTAACTGCAGATTTACAGAAACTATGTTAATTTAGGTCCTACCCCAGGAGCCAACTAGTCCTCTCCTCGTGTGGCTGAAGATTTGTTGGAGTTTCGGTGCAGTTTGGGAAAAATCTGATTTATACTTAAAATCTGCTGAAAATCAACACGTCCTAAGATCTCTTGAGATGAGGGTCTCTTGCACACAGCGAGTTTGGAAGCTAACTTTAGGAGGCAGGAATAAAGGACAAGCCTGGTGCGAAAGTCACTGGAAGTTGCAGGCATCTTGGCTTCCAGGTCCTTTGGGAAGAGGAAAAAAAGCAGCCACCGTAATTCAGCCGGAGGAGACAGTAAGATTTCAGTGGAAATCAATGACATTAGATGGGCAATTGTCCCTGCACACCACGCGTCCCCCCACCCCCCGCAGTTCCTAAAATAAAACAACCCTCCTGGCGAGCATTACTGAGCAGTCTGAAGACTTAGGTCCCTCACTGCTCCGGCACTGATCAGCTGGCCAGCCTGGGGGAGGTCACAGCAACGCAGCCCGAGTGGCAGGCAGTCTGGATCACACAGCTGCAATCCACCCAGGTGGGCCGAGGAAACTTTTGGGGCAAAGGGAGGGTGCAGCACTTAGCAGTATCCTGTCTGCAGCACACAATAAGTGGTCCTTGAGGTGCCACCTCCACAGGGGCGAGGCTAGCTCGCACAGGCAGCAGCCCAGCCCCCACCCAGTCTGGCAAAGCTTGCCCTGCCTTCCTCCTGTACCCCCAGACCTCCAGCTCAGCCCAGGCCCTTCGGCCCACCCACGTGGGGATGGAGAAGGGGGAGGAGCGCAAGAGAAGCAGGTGGGCGCAGGTGGGGTGCCCCTGGAGAAGAGGGGAGGCGCGGGCTCCAACTCGCCCTTTCTGACCCCAGACTGCCTTCCCTGGCCCCCAAGTCATCGCGCAGAGCGAGGGGACACCCGTCGGTCAGGGAGCTCGCTCGGGCCCTCGTTGCCCCTTTAAGGGTTGCCGAAACTTTCCCTCTGATAGCAGATCAGCCTCGTCACATCCGTTGGCCCTGGCCTCCAGGGGCCTCTTTCCGAGCCAAGTCTGGACCTGAGTTTCCCGGGAAAGGGAGGGGCGCAGCCCGGGACCGGCGTGTGCGTGGGGCGCGTGCCCCGGAGTACCCCGCGCGCCCCCAGACTGGCCCTCGGTAGCTGGGCGGGGCTGCGGCGCCAACTTGCTCAAGTTGGCTGCGCGCTGGGACTCAGCTCCTCGGTGGCTCCTCCCCGGCCTCCGCCCACCTCCGCCGGCGGCCCGTGCGCGCCCCGCAGCCCGCACGCCCCGTCCGGACCCCGCTGCGGGGATGGGCGCGCTGGCCCGGGCGCTCCTGCTGCCCCTGGTGGCTCAGTGGCTGCTGCTGCGCGCGGCCACGGCCCCCGCGCCCTTCACGCTGCCCCTCCACGTGGCCATAGCCACAGCTCGCCCAGCCTCGCCGACCCCCGTGCCCGGAACCCCCGCGCTGCCCCGCGCTGATGGCCTGGCGCTGGCTCTGGAGCCCGCCGGGGCCGCTGCCAACTTCTTGGCCATGGTGGACAATCTGCAAGGGGACTCGGGTCGCGGCTACTACCTGGAGATGCTCATCGGGACCCCGCCGCAGAAGGTAGGGGGGTGGGGGTGGGCGCGCCTGCGGTCCCTGCCTCCCCTCCGCTGCAGCTCTGCGGGGACCCATGGCAGGGTTGGAGCAGCGCCCTGCCAGCAGCTGCTGTCGCCGCTGGAGAGGAGTCCGGGGCGCACGGGGGCGCGTGGGTCTGGGGCCTGGCTGCGTGCTCAGGAGGGCTCCGAACTTGGACTTGAGAGGAGCCCTGGAGCGGTTCTGGCCAGCGACACCCTGTTCAGCAAGGTACCGGGCCTAAGGTGAGATGCAGGGGTTGCCTTCGGGGTTCGTCTCCCCTCTCCCACGCTGTCTCTTAGCTAAAGAGGCTTGTGGCCGGCGCCCTCCGAAGGGATGTATTCGTGAGCTCGGCCAAAACAGCCTGGCTCAGAAGTGGCCGGGTGGCCGCCGCCGCCCGTGCAGCAGCGCGTTGGATCTGGATCGTGCGCGCGTCCTCCGCGCCGCCAGCTGCCCGGCCGCTCCGCGCCCAGCCGGCGTCCGCGCGCGTGGGGTTGGAAAGTAGGAAGCGCGCTCAGACCACGGGGGTTCAATCCGGGCCGACCCAGGCGATGACGAAACAGAAAGGAAGCCTGGAAGCTTGCTTCTCCCTTTGTATGCCGATGTTCATTTTCTAGCACTTCTGGTAGCGAGGAATACATGTCCCCAAACACACTCCTCTAAAAAAAGAAATTTCCCGGAGTTGCTCAGACCTCTCCTCCCTGCAGACTTACAGATCCACGTGCGAGTGGAGGTCAGATTACCTCATCAGCGGCACGCCCCACGTGAAGAGCCTTTGTTTTTATTTTTAACATTGTCACTCGGGTTTTAATTCTGCAATGATTGCCCATAAATAGAACATACTCATGACTTCTCTATAATTCTAATTAAATTATTCAAGACTTTAAGAGGAAAGATATGCCATGTTAATTCTTTTTTTATAAAAGGAAACTGCTGAATAACTTCTGTAGTTGCTTAATTGGTTGAGTTTTTTTTTTTTTTTTTGTAAACCTTCCAAAGTGCATTATTCTGCACCAGAGTTTAGTTCTAGTTGCTCTGGTGAGAAACCTCGTGAGCCTTCTCTGCTGGTGGCTGGAGTCAGCTGAGCAAGATTACAGACCCCTTGTGAGCACCCAGGCGCCTGCTCACCCAAGACCCTTCGGGGCACCCAGGGACTCCTCCATGACCTGTGAAACCTCTCAGAACAGGTCCCCAGTGACTCCCAATGTGCTTGCATGAAGAAAGTTCCTGTGGGTTTTCTCAAATGGAAAGAAATTTTCCCTGCTCCAGTGAGGCTGTGAGGAAGACCACTAGAGAAGGAATAAGACTTCCGTTGGCCCTCAAAAAAAACCAAAAAAGCTTGCATGAGTAATAGCTCCCCTTTGTTGATGAAGGCAGTGATCTGCACTTTAAAATGGTGAAGTTTAATTGGCGCCTTAACAGGAAGGTGCTGAGTGCAGGTACTTACATCTTTACCATGACCCAGGAAGTGGTTCGAGGTTGTCTTCCTCTGATACACAGCAGTGTGCTCCAGGGAGGGCTGCCAGGACCCAAGTAGGTTCCCTGGTGCGCATGGTGGGAGTGGGAATTCTGCACCCCTGTCTGGACCAGGTTCCTGCCCATGATCTGTCCGCGTGCCAGTGATCTGTCCCCGTGCCCACTGCAGACCCTCAGGCCAGTGACCTGTGACTGTCGTGTGAGATTCACCACTTGCCCACAATCCCGTCCCGGAAATCCCCTGACCAGCAGTAGGGCATTGGTCGCTGGCTTGCAGGCGGCAGGAAGGTGATTTCCTGTGAGTTTCCCTTTCCCATGACTGGCCAGGAATCACGAATTTCTTCTCTGCTGATTCTCTGAGGCCTAAAATAAAAATTGCTTAGGTGGAGAGAAAAGGAGGAGTGGATGCAAGCAGTAAACACAGGGCTTGTCCAGGAGTTCCTAGTGCAAGCGTCGTGGCTCCAGGAGTTGGTGCCCTGTGAGTCCCCATCCTCTCCTCCTCTAATGCTGATGCTGTGCGTGGAGACCGGTGCTGAGGCTTGGGGAGGTTGAGGGCCTTGGCAGGGCAACAGGAGGAAAGAGTGCCAGAAATGGATCTCGTGGAGCTGGACTCAGGACCCCAGTTCTGATTTCCAGACCGGCCTGCTTCCTTCTTGCCTTTTCTTTGGTTTTGGGGTCAAGCTACCCTTTCCAGCCCACACCCCTAAACTGCAGGACTACAGCTCCGTCTCCTGCTCCTTTTGGGAAGTGCTTAAGGATTGGCACAGTGAGTAACCGCATCCAGGTAGGACCCTGGAGAAACAGGAGGTGCAGGGGTGCTGGAGCCCGCAGGTCCTTGGCCTGTTACGGGAGAGCCAAGCTTTGGAAGTGTGCTCCAACCGGATGCTTTCATCAAGAACTGGGGCCCATTGTTCTGCCCGCAGACTCTGCCGAGTCACAGGCGTCTGCCCAGAAGCCCGAGTGAGAGCCACGCGCCCACAGGCAGGACCATGTTGGCATGGAGATGAGAGCCCGGGGTGCACATGGAGAGCATTACGTGACTTCTTTCCACCAGGAGCACCAGCCTCTGCCGGAACCCTGCAATTTGGTCCCAGTAAAAATAATAATGGTGTCCTCAGGTGATAGTAATTATGGCAATTTCCATTCTATCAAAAAGTACTTTCATGCTAGCACAATAAACCCAACTGAAGACGGGGAAGAGCTGCAGCTGTACACTGTAGAGCGGCTTCAAAGGGAAAGGCTTGTTGGGGTCTCTGCTGAAAGGCTCTGTCGTGTCTCCACCGGCGTCAATCAGCCAGGCAGGCACCCTATTTTCACAATGAGCATTGGAATGCAGATAGCTCATGGATTCTTTTGGCTCATGGCTTGGTCCTTGGGACACTTTGCACTGAAAGTGTGCTGAGCCTATAGCTTAAGAGATGGTCTTTTGCAGAACAAGCTGTCCAGGGGTTCCCGTGTCACCTGAACTGACCACAGATGTGGCCGGAGAAAGAAAATCAGCATCAGCACGAAGAGGGTTTAGACTGTTGGGACAGTGGGGAAGGAGAAGATCACGGGCTGGAGCAGCGTGGAAGTGGGACCTGTGTGCCGCTGTCTCCTGGTGAAAAGTGGCCCTGCCTGCGTTTTATGGAAAGAATTCAGTAGAGGCCTGATGGCAAGGGCCACTCCCGCCAGGGAGCTCCAGGCTCCCCGAAGTTTGCACGGCAGCAGTGCAGCCCCCTTTATGTCCTGCAGGCGGGCAGCAGGTGCCCAGTGCAGCATCTTTGTGGGCTGCATGCACCCCACCCCTCATCCGCACCTGGCCCTCGCCCGTTGATGAGGTTCACCTCTTTGAATTTGCCCTCTTTGAAATTGTCTGACGTCACATGACTTCCCAGACAGGGATGCTAAGATTCAGCCCAGTCCTGTGTCAGAGTCATCAGAGGCCCTGCGGGGATAGAGGAGGGACGTCACCCGTGACCCTCGCCAGCCCTGCGTGTGCCACTGTTTTAGTGGCAGTGACTTTTAAAAAGAGCAGTCTTCGTGATTCCGTGAACAACGTGGTGTCACCAAGGGTTTCCTGGGTGTGCCAGTGTCAGCGCCCGCGACCCAGGCAAGCAGCTGACCATGTAGAACTCCGAAGCCTGATCTTTGGGCTCTGTACTTGTTTCTTTGGGCAGTTTCTCACAATAGCCACAGACCGGGGGCTTCAGTTTCTTTACACACGGTTCTGGAGGCCCAAGTCTTAAGTCACAGTGTCAGCAGGAACGTCCTCTCTCAGACAATGGGCCGGCTGCGCTCCTTGGCTCATGGCTCGGTCTCTGTCTCCATCTTCATGTGGTGTCTTCCCTCTGTGTCTCTCTGGCCAGCTTCCTCTGGTTTGGTTTTTGTTTGTCTTTGAGACAAGGTCTTGCTATGTAGCCCAGGCTGACCTTAAACTGACTATATGATTCAGGCTGGCATAGAACTTGCAGCGATCCTTCTGCTTCAGCCTCTCAAGTGCTGTGATTACAGGCATGGGCCACTACGTATAGCTATTCTTTTTTTTTTTTTTAAATAAGGACACCTCTCCTCAGATTACCTGGGTGTTGTCTTAACTGGCTCACACCTGCAAAGGTCTGCTTTTCATTACAGGTACCAGGGTTCGGTCTTCAGCATGCAGTCAGCCTGCTGTGTACTGCCATGCTGTTCCGGGTCAGAGTGCAGCCCCATAAAGCCATACTGTCTAGTGATGCTGGAGCACTCTCAGTTTAAGTGCACTCTGTGATGTTTGCACAGTAACAAAACTGCCTTGTGATATATGTCTCTGAATAGAACCCCATCCTAAAAGGACACATCAGTGTCACTTGGGAGGGGGATGGTTTAATCCACAAGCTCATTTTCAGCTTGTCATCCTGTGGAATTGCGTTCCTTTATTCTGTTCGACTTTTATTTATTTATTTGTTTTTGGGTGCTAGGAATCAAACTCAGACCTGTACTTGCCAGGCAGGTGCTCAGGCTGCTGAGCTACATCCCCGGCCCTTATCCCACTGTTAAATCGCCATTGGTTGCAGTGTGTAATGTCCGTGGGAGGTGCCGAGCAAGGGTGACTTTAGTGTAGAATTAGAGTCTGGCACGATCGTGCCCGGTGTGGGCATGGGGAGGTGTCCACTGCTCTGCTGTGCTTCTCCGTCGGCTTCCTCATTGGAGGCATTGTTTAAAATTTCACTGTCACTTGTCCTCATGCACTTGCTGCACAGGAGCTGGGGTTGTGTGGAAAGGGGGACCCCATGTAACCTGTGAAGGCACAAGCTGGTGGGGTTTAAATGTGGGCACTCGAAAACATTCATGCTGCAAACACAGCAGACATAGGAGCTCGTGCATCTCGTAGGTTAAGGACTTGGTAAGGTTCCTGCCGCCGTTGGGACTCCGGCTGTCTATTGGGAAGTAGGGATGCTTCCCCTCCCAGACTCCCTGCTCTGTCCCCATGTCTGCTCCCCCACCTTGGCTTGCCCCAGCCTGCCTTGGCCTGGCTGACTTCTCTTCCTGTTTCCTCC